TTAGAGTCTGCCAGAAAACCTGGATCCCCAGAACCACCTCCAATAAGAGAAGCAACAAGGCTAGCAGCTTCTGCTGCCACACCCTCAGAACCATTTCTGAGTAAACCCATTATTCTCCCAACGGCAGCCGGAAAAGACATCACGTGAGAAGCTGCAGCCCTTGAAGCCAACAATCTACGTAAACACGCAACAAAACCCATCACTGTCGCAGCGGCCTTAGGAGAAGGAGGTGGCAAAGGAGGAGACTCTGGGGGGAGATTTGGAGCCGCTGGAAGCATCGTAATCAGTGCCATTAAAGTTACCTCAGGTACTTCAACACTAGGAGGGACTCCAGTATATGGAACACATGCATTGAACTCCCTAATTCTACGCCACAGTTTAGCTCTTGAGCCAGGAAGTGAGCCGCCTTCGGCAACAGCATCTTTAGCAGCTGCTGCTAAATGTTTCAAATGCATAGATGCACTTTCCAAATCCGCAATAGGGCGCTGAGGTCCTATTAGTAAATGGACTCGCCCACAAGGGGGATCAACGCGATGCCCAGGCATTGTGAGCCTTGGCAAAATAGGGACAGGGCATTGACCCTGGCAAAATGCAAGTAACAAAGGAAAAACAGACATTAGATTCCCATGCACAAAACAATTGCACAAAGATGCCTACTGCATTATAGTTCAATGTGCTTCTACACTGAGACCCTAACTGATATCCAACAGAGGACAGATATACCTACTTCTATTTGCAACATGTCCCGCACAGCTGCCAGTAAATTGTCTCGAGATGTGCTTGCATAAACCTGCATGCATGCCATTTGACATCAGACAAGTTAATGCAAATATGAATTTCCATAACCAAAATGGAAGAGGTAAAGAGCTGTGGACACTGACATGGATTGGACACCCATCGTTGAACTCGATAGCAAACATTTGGGGCTCCTCCGCAAATCGGACAAGTGAATTTACAGCGGATAAAGGACGAACAATAACAGCCTGCACTCACATCTAATGAAAATTCTCAGCAGTTGATTGTGACACATATAATTAACCAGTAATTTAATATCTATATGCCATGATGCACCAATAGACAAACTTCAATGAGAATACAGATGAAGTTAACGCAAATGAGAGGCACCTCATCTTTAGAGTATTGCAAATATGAAACCATTCATCTAACATTAGAAAATTCCAAATTGTGTAAAATTTCATGCACCTACTTCATAGTTTTCAGGGCGCCTTTCAACAAGAGAAACCCTAGTCAGGATTAGTTGACGGGAGACAGCATCACCATGCTCTCCAAGCCCACCTTTAGGACCAACTCCCAAATTCAATCCAGGGACATTTAGAGTTCCATGAGCAGCAGAACGCAACCTGGTCACTGACCAATCACCACATGGGGTTTCTGCGGCTCCAACTGCTTCTTTTTCTACATGAGAATAATAGATGCATAACAAGAATAATTAGGGTAAAAAATCGAAATGAAAGCAAGTTAACCACAGAATTCATAGCTACCTCTTCGCTTCATATACTCCATCACAGTCAGTGACTGAGAGCTGTCAACCACCAGTGACAGCCCAACTGTTGATTTAGCCGTCTTGGTCTGCAGAAACACAAGTTCATTAAGCCAAAACATCTAAGTCACAATATGTTGACTTCGTCATATGATAAACCTTTTACCAGTGTCATGATGAAAGTGGGAAAATAATTCTGCCTACATAGTGGATCAACATAAACCAGCTAGAAAGTATAGCTACGCCGGCTAAAGATAGCATCCGTACCAAATTTGAGATAATTGCTGCGCTTGTGGTTCCCGAAGAACCTTGGAAGGCTTTAGATTTTCTTCCATACAAAGGGGAAAGAACAAAACCACCATGATCACTTTTCTTCCCATAAGCATCTGTAAGGAGCATAATCGCAGGGGAATTCATATCTCTGAAGTCCAAGCACCAGCGAAGATCTCCAGATCTCAAATCAATCAATTCTACCCCGATGTAAGTAATTTTCATTTTCTGCAAAGAGGCCAACTATCAGAATCACTAACTTCAAAAGATAAACCAAACAATGAATCAAACTGTGCAATTACAAGAACTTCGTGAAAGCTGAGTTTATTTTGCAAATAAGTTTAGCTTCATAGTTGATCAACTCAGTGATACGCTGTCCTCTGAAGACGATCAAAATGTAGGGAAAGAGCACAGCAAACAGAATACCATTCATTCAAGTTTCTACACACGTTTCCCTCTACATTTGAAGACAAGTACTAAAGGGGAACTCTCTAGACCAACAAGCTCTCTCCCTATACAACAAACTTCCGATGGATTAACAAATAGCAGTCTACTGGGACAATAATCTCAGGCTCCCAAAGAAGAAAAGACGCTCAATCGGACAGAGAGTTAGAGAAAGAGTGCTTACATACGGTACCCATTCTCCATTCCGTCTCCTCAAATGCAACACCGGGAACTCCGCAACTGCACCAAGCCTATTCCACCTCAGTCTATGCAGCTCCGTCAATATACTAGCTCTATACTTGGAAGAGAACTTCACCCCTTTGAACTTCCCCTTCCCATCCGTCCTCACACTCAAATTAAACTCGCTCGAATTCTCATCCCGCCCAGCAATCGGCGACGCCCCTTCGAAATCAGTCGCCACATCGTAAGAATTCGTCACAGTAAGCGAGCCGGGGTCCAGTGTAACAATCGCGGCGTTCGAGAGGCAAAGAACCCGTTTGTACCTCCCGCGCCAAGAGTGCTTGATCACGATGTACCGCGCCAGGTACTCTGGCTCCTCCTGAACTGAAGCCGAAGAGGAAGAAGAAGGAGAAGACGACGACGACGGGGAGCTGGTGGAATTGGAGTTCTCCATGGAAGGAGGAGGACGGTGATCGGCGACCGAGTGGTGGCGGGTTACGGATTGCTGATAAGCTTGCTTTTGCTGCTGGTCCTCGAGGTACTGGAGAGTGTGGGTGCGAGGGGCATTGTTGAAGCGCAGGAAGAAGAGAAGTCCCACGCCAGGTTGGTGGCGAGACCGCGACTGATTAGCCCCCAGTTTTCGGCGCCGTCGTGGTTAATCACCGATTGGCGGGTGGTTGGATTCGATCGACGGGAAGCGGGAGAGCTTCGCCTGATCGAATTGGCATATAGAGATCTCGATCGCAGTTGAAGCTCGAAATCGGACACGAATTTAGGGTTTTAGAATCGAAGAAGAAAAACACAAAAGGGGGAGTTTGAGAATAAGGGAAATCGGAAGGTAAGAGGAGGAAGAGGCAGTTGGGATGCTTCGTTGTTCTCTTCACCGCTGTCAAATGGAAAGCAATTTAGGCTGGCTGGACAAATTATGATGATCAGGTGACCCGTCGGCAAGCAAATATATGGTTAATTATCATAAATTCTCATAAACTTTTTCGCTTAGTATAAAACGGTTATAATTGTTGAATTTACAAAGGAGGAATTTTACAATGCTATATAATATTGGTGTTATAGGTTTTTGTCTTTATGGTACAATTTGAAATTGTATCTTTAATGTTATGGTACAACTTCATATTGTACATATACTTTTTGTACAAATTCTTTTATGATACAACTTAAACTTGTACATTTATGTGATATTACAACTTCAAGTTGTAATATTGTAGCATAACATAATGATACAAATTCTTTTATGGTGCAACCTAAACTTATACATTTAATGTTATGGTACAACTTCAAGTTGTACATTAAAACACCAATACTATATAGCATAGTAGTAGTGTTCTTTATAAAGATTGATAACAAATCTTTGCACTTATTACAAAATAGTCATAAATTATGTATAAGTAATCATTTCATGGACTGGAGCATGTAGAGGAGACGACTCTCACGATCTGGAGCACGACCTCCAAACCTTGCGTGGCATAATAATTACCGTCTTTTAGAATAATTCGATAAATAAATTGTCACCACTTTTATACAACTATTGTAGTTTGGTCACTCCAGATTGAGCAAAACCGAACGTCTAAAAAATATTTTCATAGATCACCTGTAAGCACAATAGTAAAACCATATGTTGGTTGCTTGGTTTGCTTTGGGGCATTATCTTCATATAAAGAAGCAATTATATTACTTATGGGTCGTTTGCTTAGTGGATTTGAAAAATGAAAGTTTTGGTAAAACTTGAATTTTGAAAAATTATGAATATGTCATATGTGATGGTTTTGGGGACTCGAAAACACCATTATTTGTTTCATAGATTTTGTGATGGATTTAGTTAATTAGATTTGTATGTATGAAGAGAATTTGACTTCCATCGTCCTCATTGGTATGAGAAGAGTTTCATGATGGATTGTGTTTTGATATTGAAGTCGATAGAATAGTGGAATTCAACATCTATAAGTAGATGTGGCTACAGGGTGTGTGGGGTGAGTACAATTAAATCTATGCTTCGTTCTTACCTATAATTCTGCCTTTTCCCTTCTCCTTCTCGCCTGTATTTGGGGGGTAAGAATTGAGAAGAATTGTGAAATTAAGGTTAGAGATTGAGATTAGGAGAAGAACTGAGAGGATTGGGGAAGAATTTGAGAGAGATTAGGGAGAAGAATGAGATAATGAATTAGGGATTTCAATAGTTGTTCTTTCTTACTTTTGAAAATATGACATCTTTCTTTTAAATAAGTGGACTAAGGAAGATAAATAGTGGTTTCGATCTCCTCCTCTCCACATAAGATGAGTGGCTGGGACTGAGCGGGGCTGATTATTACTAAACACCCATGTCTGATCTGTTTTAGTTGCGTGTCGAATTGAGATTCGGCCGTTCAAGTACGAATATAATTTTACGTGCCCTAATACAGGTCGGATCGAGGAATATTCAATAAAGCGAGTCTAGTTTGTCAATCGTTGGTGAATTTATTGATTTGATTAATGAATTATTGGAAAATAAAAAATTCAATAACTATATATTATATATTTTACAGTTGATACATCAATTGTACATTTTTAATGAAAAATATTCTTTGGTACCTAAACTCTTTTTCATAATAGTCCACGATTAGATACCACTTTTCATAATAGTCCAAGATTTCTGCGTACAAACTCATTACTCTATTTTAGTATTTACATTACCACATGAAGTGGCTACGAGTATGTATTACAGAGCCTTAGTATCATTCATTATACACTTAAATAGGCTGGCCTCCCATTCCCTGTTAGTATCTCTGCTACATCATTGAGTCCCTTCCATGGCTCCTGCTGCTCCTTGGCTGCTCAAATGGAAATGCCAACTCCCAACTACCATTTCCTCTCTCCCTGCCTTTCCCTCTAATGGCAAAGGCAAATAGGCAATTGATAACCTCCCAGGGTAAAAGAGATGGGAAGCCACTGCTACTATACAACAATTTTCTTGCAACATACTTTACAGTTAACAACTCCTTTTTAGCTTGCTAATAATCTATCGCCCAGCTCTTTACGGTATACCTGGATCAAGCTGTTGTCTTCTGTAACCTCAAACTCAAGTTTCTGCTCCAACTTGCTTCGGTAGCTATCGTCTTTCTTCTCCAGATCACGTATGAGTTCAACCTGAGCACCACACCGAAATAAATTACCAAATGATTCTCATGTAAAACCTTACCAAGTTAGATCAGATGTCATCTTGGGGTATAAACATATGTAATGTAGCAGAAATGTATTACCTGCTTCTGGAACGAATCGAATTCATCAGAGCTCAGAGAGCCATCGCTGTTGGAATCGAGGAGTTGCATCATCTCCTCTGCATCCTCCCCAGGGGCACCAAGTTCTTCCATCACTTCCATCAGTTCCTCGATGCTAATTCGACCATCTCCGTTCTTGTCCAGCAGCCCAAACACTCTGTCTCTCTCTCCAATCTCGATGCCTTGATTAGTAGATGGGAGATCCTTGAGACGTATGGCTGCCAGTTCAGCTGCAGCCATCATTATTGCCTTGAGCCGCTTTGCCTAACCAGTGTAGTAAATCCAGGGGGGAAAAGAAACCATGTTAGGTAGTGCACACTTCACCAAAAGAACCTGTGACATTTTAAAATTACGAAGTAACATTATGTTGCCTGACCTCATCTGGATCAGTTAGACCAGCCTTATATAGGGAATGTGAGGCTGCTCCACCAGCTGCGATCTTGTCCATATCTGCAGTCCGTACTTGTACTTCCATTAACGGTCTCGCCTCGTTGTTTTCACTCACATCAACAGCCATGTGCAAGCTCCTATACCCATTCGCTTTGGGCATGGCAATGTAGTCTTTCGTTCGACCTGGTATTTCCTTCCACACGGAACGAATTACTTCTTGTGCTCTATAGCATGCCTCCTCACCTATGTCCGCTTCTCCCGACCTAGTATGCAAAACAACTCTTAAACCCAGAATGTCATTTACTTGATCAGGCTTTCGACCATCCTTGAGCAGCTTCTTCATTGTGCTATACCGGCTTTTGTAGCGGCCTTTCACAGTGACATCTTCTACCATGTCAACCAAGATGGGATCATCTCTCAGGCACTGATGCAGATGCAGGGCATACACATCTATGAGAGACCGACTTCCACTCTCGTGGCTGCACAGCCAGGAATCTAGATAGAGATATGAACAAGGAAAGAGATACCGAAACGAGAGATCCTCTAGCTCCAGCGAGATCGAGAGGGTTCCGACAGCATGAGCTAAAGGAGCATGTATCCTCATCACTTGAAGAGACAGCATCTGCTGCTGATGGCGTGGCAGGTAATCCAAATTCCTCATCGTATCGAGTTTGTGAGCCACGTCGAGAACAATAGCCCTGATGTCGTAGTAAGTCAGGCAGAACCTTCGTAGAGTAGAAGCAGCATCGTCATCAAGCACCTCCAATCTTGAGGGAAGCCTCTTGAGGCGCAAGGTCTCATACAGGAGATGGGCAGTAGCAGTGCCAACACGATCTCTCGCCTCGTGTAAGGACATCGCACCTGCTTCAAGGACATGCCACAATATGCTTGCAGAAAGAACTTCTGCATCCATCTGCATATTTCGTTGCTCAACTTAACTTAATTCCGTTTCATCAATTCATTCGTTCCTACGCAATAACAGAATAAGCAGAAATTGGTAGGTGGGGTTTTCAGTGTTGGGGAACCTGAAGATCGGCAAGCAGGAGAGCGACGGAGAGGGCCTTGGCGAGAAGAGGTCTGCCATCAGGAGCGATCCCCAAGTTCTGCAAAATGGGGACGGAGAGCTTCAATGCGTTGAAGAGCAATCGGGACGAGCTGGTGGACAGCACATTCATCCTCTGGGTGAGAGAATTGAAAGCACCAACTAGCTCCACCACCATCTTTCCGCCGGGCTGCTCCAGTGGGGTAGCGGCTACCGTCTGCCGCCGACGACGCCGGGAGGAACGGCGACTTCTCATACTTATCATCATCATCATTCCTCCCATGGATGCGATTGAAGAAATTGGATGTGGGGGTATGGTTGGATTGTTGTAAGAGGAGAGGTACCGAAGACCACAAGCTGCGTCCAGCGCCATATCCATGGCAATTCTTCCTCGGAGTGGGTGGCGACGGTTCGTTGAGCCCCCTCCTCCCTCTTTCGCCGTCGACGCCGGCGAGAGGAACTGAAAGAAGAAATGATTGATTTGGGATCTAGTGGATTAGGTTTTAGTTTCTTTATTTCCTTCCAATTCCAATTTTCCCTCTTTTTTCCGGTTTCTCGAATCCTAGACGACGTCGTTTTACGCTTTTTTTTCTTCCTCCAAATTATTCATACCAAATAATTATCTCAAAAATAGACCAAAGCGAAATTAAAAGAGTAACGGTAAATTCTCTTGTGGATATTAACAGTTCAGGCATTTCGTCAAACACCTACTGCCCTCACCACCAACCGACGACGGCCGATCACGGACACCGGAGCACAACAACTCCGTGAACTTACCGGTAGCGAACTCCGGCAAGCATATGCAAACCACCGTCCTCCCGCTGGGCTACGCCTCCCCCTCCGGCAACAGAACACACACCTGCGGCGTCGGCGTCAGATCGATCGGCCAGCGTAAACCGGCTGTCCCCACCCGAAATCCGCCGTCTCGTAAATCGGAAACCTCGTCCACTGCGTAATCGTCAGCTTCCCGCCGAACTCCAATCTCCTCGGCCGATTGAGGGAAGAAGCTCTGGCCGCGGGGCGAAGACCTGTAGAAGTAGACCGTCGGGGTGAAGACGCGAGCACCGACGATGTCGTCGAGGCAGAGGCTGTGGCCGACATCGGCGGGGATTGGACAGGCAGGGGAGACGTCGACTGGTTGGGAGGTGGTGATCGGGATGTTGAGAGGCGGGAAATGGAGCTCCTGGACTGATGAGGAAGGGCGGGAGATGAGACAGTGGGATTTTGTAGAGTGGGCTTTTTTTTTTTTTTTTTTTTTTTTTGCTTCTAGTGGACTGGTGAAATGCAAAGATGCTTGCTCTGGTCAGATGCTTGCTCCTGGTGGGAGAGGCAAATGGTAATCGTGTTTTTTGTGATACTTCAAGCTGTTATTCTACTGAATTTCAAGAGTTCCTCTTTCTTCCCCTCTGCTAAATCTTTCCCCAGTTCCACTTACCACTAAAAGATGCATCATATCTTATCAGCTAAACTTCTTTGCAAAACCTAATCCAAACTCCAAGAGAGGCAGAACAGAAGCAGGCTCACAAGTCACAGCAGAGACATGAAACAGGACATCAGTACTGGAAAATAATCGACGAAATGAACCGAGAAATCGTGATTGTGTATAACAAGCAATACTAACACTAGAAAACCAGAGTAAGGCGACGTCTGATGAAGTAGTAACCTTTTTTTTATCCATATTGAAATGACAATTTAATTTTTTCGCGATAAAAGCCTGAGGTTTATTTGCAAATGTCAAAATCAAAACAGAAGTTCTGGGTTCTCTGGAATGAAAGGGGCGGAAAAGAAGAAAAACGGAAGGACAGTTTTGAATTTCCAATCCTAGCCGGCGGCTTACCGCACAGGCTGCTGATTGTAGTGAGCCTTCTCCTTCTTCTTTGCCGCGGCAGCAACCTTTGCTCGCCTGGCGGCAGCCTCACTAGCAGCAGCCTTGGCAGCAGCGTCTACTTCTTTGCTTGATTTCTTCTTTTTGGCCACCACTTTCTTCAGCCTCTCTTTCACATCTACACCACCCGATGCATCATCCGACTTCTCGGCTTCGGCAGTGCTATTCGCTGTCCCATGTCCAACAACACTTGCAATTTGAGACTGGTCCTCGGAATCCTTGTGGGCTTCTTTTGAGGTCTTTTCCTTCTTCTTCTTCTTCTTGGCACTCTTGCTCTCACCTGGTGCATTTTCCTTCTTCGCTTGTCCATTGTTGTCGGTTTTCTTTTCTCCTGAAACATATCAGAAACCAGTAGTTCATTTCATCACGAGCAATGATATTTTGTGGCACCTAAATACTAAAGATCAATATACGAAAAGGAGGCTGTGATTGGCTCGAGCATGTTCAAGTCATTGAAGAGAGAGAGAGAGTAAATCTAACAGAGAAGTTACCATCAGAGGTATCCTGACCAGTCGACTCCTGTTTCGCATATCCTAACTCTGCAAGTACAGCATCAAGTTCTTCAAGCCCTTTTTTCTTCAATTCCTTCTTCGAGAGTTGCCTTTCTGTATCCTTCTGAGGCAAAGAAACCTCAGGTTGCTTCTTAACAGGCTCCACTTCTGCGGCAGGCTCAGGTTCATGTTCTTCCTCCACATCCTCCACCTCATCATCGACTTCATCAAGACCTTCTTCTTCACTTTCACTTTCCTGCAAACATAATAGAATCCTAAGACAAATTACGCACAGCTATTCATGTGCAACCTCGAGTGAGGTTACAAGTTAATAGGTAAACAGTTCAGTAATGAACATATCAAACCAGAGCGAGTTGCAAAATGCTAACATAGAAGTTCATTTTCGTGAACAGTCCATGTCAATGCCAGTACTGTAGTCATTTTCAAAATCCATTGTGCCATCGTAAGGAATGGGAATTAGAGCGAGACGCTTAATAACTGCTGCTAAGAATTGTATTGGATCTCAGGCTTCTAGCATGGATAATGATTACCACCTTAACATAATAGAGGGCATATTTGTTCTAAGAAAGCAAAATACAGATTTACAGTCATCCACCGCAACTCCAGGCTAAGACATATCAATAAACCTGTAGATACATAATAACTTTGGCCAAATACCAAGCAAAAGTATCATATAAGGAATAATGAACCAACTCCACAGTCCTAGAACAAGATGCGAAAATTTGAAAGAAAGTGGCAATAGCCATGAAGCGGATGGAGAGGAGGAGGAGGAGGATCAGAAGGCACTTTGACGATGCTTGGTGACAGAATCTATGGCAGTAATCAGAGGTGTCCAGACTCAGCAACAATGGAGCACCTACCATACACTAAGCCATGAAAGCCCATGACATTAGCATTTAACTTAAATGCTACAATGTACCTTCTAACTAGGCATGACCAATCATACACAAAGTATGAAAGGTCTTGAGGGATACTATCAACAGTTTCCTCATTGCACTAAATGAAGCAGCTTCGTTCAGAGAGAGAGAAAAAATCCTGACTTGCTCCCTATCCGACTACCAACACGTATCGCTTATCAATTGAAGGGGTTGGATGAGACAATCGTGTAACGGCCTTAACCGTCCAAATTATGTGCCACGAATGTGCAAACAAAGGTAAAACATGACGCCAAATTTGGCCTTTTTTTTACCAGTAAGGCTATAGAAAGAGTATTATTGAACGTATTCAATAACGGATCGTTTGGCACGTGCAAGTTCCCGATTGTCAAAATAACTGAAGGGGCATCCAGAACTATGGCGAACAATCTGGATATGCCACATCACACCGAGAATCCGTCACAAAAATCACATCTTCTAAGTTCTACTCCGAATCCCAAAGATCGACACGAAATCATTTTCTGACATTACCAAGTAGCTAGATTTGTTTATCCATACATCTACTTGCATAACAAATTGGGCAGAATTATGTCTTAGACAGTTGCTGACCCTGATTGCTTTGTTGAAGGGTGACACAAACAGAATAAACTGACTGTTGTAACAACTATATACATTACATTCCAGCATATACCCTATCCATACCCAAAAAGAAATCCACCATACTTCACATAAAGATCAGACCTCACAAGTCATAAGCATATTCTTTATTCTCCCAATGAACTGTACCATTCAGTTTCTCAAACATAAAGCTAAACATGGCAATCATATTCACTCAGCAAACTATTCCATGCAAAACCAAGAGCATATCTGATATAGTACTGAAGCAGTAAGAGAATAATGAATTAATCACCTCCACGGCCTCCTTCTCCGGCTTGGCACCGGGAGCGGCACCCCAGGCAGGCGCAAGCGGGGCAGTAGTCGCGTAGTAATCGTCGTCATCCTCGTCCTCGACGTCAGCCCAAGACTTCGTCGTGAGCGGTGCCGGAGCCCAGAACACCTTCTCCGCCGCCTCGGTCTGCTCCTTGCTCGATTTCGATTTAGACCGGTCCTTGCCGGAACTCGCAGCAGCGGAGGAGCTCGAACTCTTCTTCTTCTTCCTCAAGGTGTCGAGCGCAGCGAAGACATTGTTACTGTTCAGCACCGCCTGCTCATTCTTCCTCCCGCTCGCTCCTCCCCCAACCATCTCAAAATCCACAAAATAAACCCGATGACGAAACACGACCCCCGCCTCCGGCTCTCTTTAAATCGAGCGTTTTCCCTCCCCCGGTCAGAAATTCGAGAGAGCTCGGATGGCGTCCGTTAAGACGGAATTAGGGTTCCAGGGACCAGTCAGCTTAATTCGTTTCCCCCGATTGACAAAAGCAACGCGAAGGGAAATGAAGAAAACGAAAGATTAGAAACAACAACAACAACAACGAGCTCGCCGGTAAGATTTTAAATCTCCGAGCGATCGCCCGTCGCCTCGAAGGGCAGAAGTCCGCCGGAAGAAATGCAAACTGGAAAAAAATTGTTAGCTTCTTCAATGGCGGTCTCGACTCGACTCTCGTTCTCGCTCTCTCTCTCTCTCTCTCTCTCTCTTCCCGTCTGTTACCTTGGCTTTGCCTCTCTCGCTCTACAGGTGGAAGCGATTTTAGATTTGAGTATTTGATTTATTTCGATGATTAATTTGGCCGGTGGCGTAGGAAGGCGCCGTGTGGGCTTGCGTGGCCGGATACGGAGCTAAAGGGAATTTACGAGGGCAGTTTGGGAACGACAGTGGCAGGTATTGTCTGGATAAGGGTTGGGGTTTGTCTGTTTGGTTTAGAGGAGAAACGGAGGGCCGTCGGATGAAAAACGGACGGTTACGATTAGGTTTGAGTGTGGGACCGGGGAATTTAGTGTAGGGAGTGGGAACTGGGAAGGTACAGGTGGGTAATAAACAGTGGGCCCATGCAGGTCCATTTGGCTGGCATGCCTGGATTTTTGGCCCACGTATTTTTTCCATAACAATGGTTGTATCGCAAAATTTAGCAGTATGATGTTATGTACAGAAATTGTGGTTCAGTCATTTTATATAGTAAAAATTCACTCATCGGTAGGGTATTATGATAATAAGACTGAGGCTAAAGCGCCTTCGTATTCATCATAATAAGACGTTTGTGGGTAGTACCCATTACATTGTACTGAAGTCACTGATCAAGTTCATGGTCGTATACATCAAAGAGATGTGTACCAAAATTATAAGTATGACCTTTTTTTGCCAAAAAATCGGCCGCAAAATTCGCTTCTCCAAAAACACGAGAAACCACAACATCCCAATCAAGACTCAGGAGGTTTCTCAATTGAATAGCAAAGTTACCATGACGATGAGAGTCATTCAAGCTCCCTTTAATGACAGAGATCGTCGTAGTTGAATCGAGGTTGAGCTGTACCTTGCGATGCCCTTTTCCCAAGCCATATTCAGGCCTTCTCCAACACCTTTTAGCTCTGCTGCTGTGATGGAGCAGTTGTCGAGGTTGCGAATGAAAGCACCCTTGCATCTCCCAAGATGATCTCTCAGCAAGCCCCCAGCAGCTGCACTTCCATTATGCGCATTGACTAAACCATCATATTGGATTTGGATCCAACCCTCCTGAGGTGGCTCCCATCCCACCAGTGCACAACTTCTGTTAACCTGCGTTCCAGCCTTGACTTTCTGGTCATTCTGGTAAGCATGCCAAACAATGCTAAACCAAGCATTGATCATGGAAATGAGACCATTCTTAGAGAATCCACGACCATCCAGCACCTCCTCGTTCCTCTGCTTCCACAAGTGCGAGCAAATAATCCCAAACTCGATACCAGTTCGTTCATCACTGAGGTTGTTCATCAACCAAACATCCAAAGAACCATTCATATTCTTATCAGCCAGCTTGTTTAGCATAGCATCCCAGATCATTCTAGCTTTTTGACAACCCCGGAGGATGTGATCAATAGTTTCGTCTTCTGATTTGCAGTGATTGCAGAATTTGTCATCAGTCATTCCTCTTCTAGTTCTTTCCTTGTTAGTAAAAGGGCAATCGTGAAGCAGCAACAACAAGAAATGTTTGATTCTGTTCGGCCCTCTCCACTTTCAGAGATCTTTCCAAGGTTGGTTTGTGGGAGACGATCAATGCAGGATGGTGGGATGAAGGACTTGGGCGGTGGTACTATTACTCATATTCAACTTGGAAATTTTAGGCTCAACACTTTAAGTAGTAAGTACCAAGTAATAATAAAAATGCGCAAATTATTGTGAAATTGTTGTTTGATTATGTGTCAATCATGCTGAAATTATTTATCGATTTAAGCTCTAATAAGCAGTAATTTAATCGAATCATGGACATGATACGATTTTGCAAACACGGTTACATACACGACACACTAGTAAACACTTCAAATTCTGATTTCAAGTGGGAAAGGCAATGAGAAAGAAGCAGGAAGGAAAATGAACATTGTGAGGGGAAAACGTTTCTATCAAAATCAACCAAAGACCCCCTAAGAGCAGCAGAGCACATTCTGAAGCCAAGATGGCTTTTCTTTCGTTGCAACATGCTCAATATCAGAAACGTATTCGTTTCGAAACTCTTCAAAAAGTCGTGCCAACATGCTGAATAACGAAACCATATATCTTCCTCTTCAGCTTCTCAATCTTCTCAATCATGGCCTTCTCCCCTTTCCCCGCCACCTTATCCAACCACCCGTTCACCCTCTTCAGCTGCGACAAAATGGCGGCAATCGAGCTAGCCTCGAGCGGCACATCTCCACCCAGCGCCCTAAAACCTGCATCCAAAGCTTCCTCCACAAACCTCACGAACCAAACTTCCATCTCACATTCCACCTTCTTCCCCATCTCCACCGTTTCGCTCATCCCGCAGCCTCTCCTCCACGCCCCTCCTCTTTCCACACCAACACGAGCTCTGTCGTTCGGCGATGACAAAGACGACGAAGAAGAAGAGTTTCCCTTCACAGACTGTCGTTTTGAGCCACTTCTCGGGAGGGAAGGAGAATTACTCGGTCGATGATGATGATGATCTGCAGAAGTAGTAGTATTGGTTGTACTGTTTCTGTTCAGAACGGAGACGATCTCGAGGTCTGTAGATAATGCGGCTTCGACCCACAAGGAAGCTGCTTTGGAATGCTGCGTTGGTGGGATGGCTTCGTGATCGGGAGAAGAATGGCTGGTGGCCACTGATTGAGCAGTCTGTGTGTACTTCTGCACGTCGTCGTACAGGGACATGAAGCGGTCTATGGTGGGCAAGGGGTTCCCGGGTTTGGATTTGGATGATGATGAGAGGTCTGAGAATATGCTGCAATGGAAATGATTGAAAGGGCGAAAGGGAAGATGTTAGATTAAAGTACTGCAGACATCGTGGTACATTCAAGAGTGAACAGGGTAATTCAAAATCCTTAGGAGAAAGAGAGGGAAGTTTTACCTTAAGCTTCTGATGATTGATTCTGTGGCAATGGCTTCTTCCAGGGCTTCTGCTGCTGCTGTAGAAGCCAGAATCCTCCTTTGGATGGCTTCCTGCATTTCAGAATCAGAGTAGTTTAATCGTATATGTCAAGAACCAGTTGCTCCTAACAAATCGAGTTGTTGGAAGAGAATCAATTAAGGATCATGATACATACTACTAATACACTAGTTTAGACGAAAACCACTCACATAAGATTGAAATTTGCACAAATCTGAACATCACTTTGGTATCATATATCATTTACTAACCGTAGAACCAGCCTATCCCGCAGGAAACTCTATTAAAAATGTCTTACCTTTCCAAGCAGTGCAAGATCTGCTGAAACTGCATCGAATGGAACGGTTCCATCGGTCCATTTCTTCTCATGTACTGTGAATCCAATAGCTCCACCAGCTGGCTTCTCGCTATCAGTAGATCCACCAGGGGAATTCAGCTTTCCTTTCTCGATGCTCGAACAATCATCATCTTCATCATCATCGTGATTGGAATGGCGACCAGCGTCGCTCAATCGCCTAGACAAGGCAGCCTGTAATAGCAATTAGCAGGCAGAAAGCTCAATTTGAGATTCACTAGTTCTTTCAATGGAGGAAGAAACTGGTGTACAGTGAAAAGATTTAAGGAAAGAAAAAGAAGAAGAATTCACCTGCGTCCGGAGAATTGAGTTTCTATCGACCTTCTTCTTCACCTCATTCTTCTCTCTCAACTCTGCCACCGCGGCGGCCTGCGGCGGAGTTTCGTCCCAGGATTTTCTACTGCTCTTACCAGATCCAACGAGAGCTTCGGAGACTCTGGAAATCCCGGCGACAATCGCCGCGATCTTCTTCTTCCCGGCGGAATCCTTGACTCCAGAGAGCCTCCGCCCCGGAGACAACGAAAGCCGCCTCGGATTCGGCGACGCCTGCCTCCTCCCGGTGGTCGGCGACGGCTGGCGGTACCTCGACGGGACTATAATCGCCGGCTCCCTCGCCACTCTCCTGTTCTCCTCTCTCGCTGCCGCCAAACTCGGCACCACGCATTTCGACGGAGCTGGAGACGAAGACCTCTTCCCCAATTTCCCAGCAGGAGACGGATCCCTCTTCTCCGCCGAAACATTCTTCCTTCCAGCAGAAACAGATCTCTTCGCTCCAGCAGGGGAAGAGAATCTCTGCGGCAGAACTCTCTCCTTATTATTCTCCTCCGCATTTCCAGCCTGCACATTGTCTCGCGGCGCGAGGGGCGTTCTCACCGCCGCTGTCCTGACGCTCTTCTCGAACTTCCTTCCATCGTCGCCCTTCGCCGAATCGTCGGAATTTCTGCTGGACAAATAGGGGGCGATGGAGGAATCCGAGGCCGATTCGACAGGTTGAATCACGAATTCCTTCCTTGAGGATGACGAGATCCGAGCGACGAGCGGCTCGGGGGAGCCGACGAAGGCGTGGCGGCCGGCGATGGGGCGGATGCCGCAAACCCTAGGAACAGGGGAGTCGGAATCAAGGCGGTCGATGTGGACGAATTGGCCGAGCTGGAGGCGGTTGGAGAGGATGAGGTCGGTGTCTCGGTCGGAGAGGGAGACGTAGGTGGAGTTGAGGGAGTCGGAGAGCTGGACGTAGAAGCCGTGGTTGGGCGAGAGGTCGGTGGCGCCGGCGAGCGCGGGGACTATGCCGGTGACTTGGAGGAGCGGGGAGCGGTGGTCGCCGGTGACTCTGGTGGCTGAGTTCATGGTCTGGAGGAGCTTCAGGAGGATTCCCGGAGTGAGAGTCGCCATTGTTGTTCCTTTTTCTCTGACGAATTGGAGTGAAAGAGAGAGATTGCTTCGACTGTGAACTGTCGGTGAGGAAGGGGGTTAATAAGAAGATGGCCGTTACGAATTCAAATTCAATAACCCGCTGACTCTCCTGATTTTGAATTCCGCTAACAGCTCGCAGTAACGGTAAGAGATATGGATAGATCAGTGCCCGGAATTCACTTTCATTACCATTTCAGTCCCCTGGATAATTTTTTTTACATTTTAATCCTTATGCCAGGCTACATCGCAGCAACAGATGAGGAATTTGCGCTTAATTTGGACTCAACTAAGAGCACAAATTGAGACGAGATGATAAGATCCATTTTAT